GAAATGTAACTAATAAAAGGACCAGTAAGAAAGTCATAACCATCAAGCAGAACTTCCAATCCTACAAATGGTACTGACATTAAGGATATATCACCTTGCTTTTAGAAAATTTATAGTAGGTAGAAAATGCAGAATTCCTTGTTTTCTTTTGTGACTTACTCAAAGCTTGTGTTACTCTCCTTTTATCTGCAGTCATGAATTTACTAGGTCTGACAATCTTTGCATGCCCGCAAGTGTAGCCAGGTCCTGGTGCCTTCAAAGTGAAGTTTCTGGGAACTCTGACAGTCTTATTAGTAGTTCCAGCTGAACCTACACTAAGTTGGAAGGAGGCTGATGCGGTTGTTGGATCTTGCACCCATGAGTTTATAACACCCCCTTTACAGCAATTAGCAATCTGCTGATTGTAAGGAGTTCCTGGCAATAAATCAACAACTGTTGGATCCCTCTTACAGCAGTGTGGAATGTTTCCTTTGAATCTCGAACAATCCCCTTGCTCTGTCGTCTGGCCTCCGACCATGTTCCATATCACTTCTTTCTTTGACCATTTCCATCCTAGCATCCACCCTGGTGCCTGAATGTGACGATATTGCTGGAAGTTGTATATAGTAACAACAGCCTGTCTATCCCATTAAGAAACTGATGAGATATTCAGCAAGAGAAAGGAATATGAAAATATTTATTTACGAAATCCATTTGAAGAAGATGCCTTTGCCAACAAAATTTTGGAAACATCTTTCTGAAGACAGAAGTGCAGAAATGTCGAAAGAACAGATTGGATATTAATTATCAGTTAATTGATTTCTCGAAAAACTTGACAGAAAACTTATTTTGTGATTTTAAGCGACATACATGTAAATGAAACATGCTACTCACCACATAACCATCGGGAGTCCAGCTCATAATGTCCCATTTTATTGTGATATTTCCATTTGGGTCAAGTGCATCATAGGCTTTTGAAAGAGAAACAAGATATTTCGGGATAAGTTAATTTGATTCTGTGATTATGGGGGAAAATAATTCACTTTGAATGGTGAATTGGAAATTAGTATCAGAAAGTAATACAAGGACCATAAACCGAACAGCAAAAACATCTTGGCTGTTTTAATGACAGAGCAATTTTGATTTACAAAAAAGAGACACAGAACATAAATTTCAAAAGAATTAGCTATTGTGAGAGAGTTATATATTCAATCTCCTATCCGCATAAAAGTGTGATAACATTAAGCCAAGAAAAAAAAAAAAAGAAAGAGACTTGATCGATTTCATCATCCTTCATAACTAGTTGCTGAAGAATACTGTCAATCACTGCACTTATGATACTCCCAATTTGCAATTGCTAGTCAGTAAAATTCATGATCGCCCTCCGTTAATGAACTACTAAATCTTGATAAAGCTGATATTCAAATAGAAATTATCAATTATGAATTCAGAAGAACACCCACCGAAACTTTAACCGATAAGCAAACATAACTATCTAATTTAGAAATTTACAGATGAGTCCTTTAAGACTAAAAACCAGAACCCCAGATTCCATAGTTTCCAATATCGATATGAAGCTAAGAGCTTTGCTAATCCAACAAAACCCATTATTAAAACGTAAAAATTTCCCAAAAAAAAGAGAGGCTTAAAATAGGAGATAATTAAAGACAACCCATTTCCTCATTCATCAGATAAAATAATAAAAATTCGAAAATTTTCAAGAATATTAACTCTAACTAGCCAACAACAAAAAATAATAATAAAAAAAGCGAAAATGCCGTTAAAATCAAGCGAACCTTGGCAAAATAATCAGAACCCAGAAAAACAGCCAAGAAAATAATAAAGATTCCAAATTTAAAAAAGCTGGTAAAAAAAATAAAAAGAAGAGTGATTACCTGTTGTAAGGAAGCTTGTGCAAGAAAGCATGAGGAACAGCAAGACGATAAGTTTAGAGGAGATGGCAATGGGAGAGAAGGGAAGCCCCATTTTCTCGTGATAAATTTTCAGTTCTTGAATTCGTTTCTCTATAATCTCAAGATTTGTTAGGAAGAAGACTTTCAGAGAGAGAGAGAGAGAGAGAGAGAGAGAGAGAGTAAAGAAGACGACGGAGGTGAGTCTGGTTTTCAGCTCAGCATGGAACTGGTTTTTTGAGAAGTTGGAAAGCGGAATTTAAGCCCACCGTTATGATTATTTTTGCAAAGGCAAAATAATAAAATATTGAGCAAAAAGCCATTGCTTTCTCTTGATACTTCGGGGCCAAGTAGATTAACAATTTACACTTGGTTTTAGTTGTATATAAATTAAAACTTTTATTATTTTTTATAAAGATTTAAAATAAAATTGACTTTGTTTTCTAAATAAATAAATTTAAAATAATTTATTATCGTGATTAGTAATCTTATTTTTCATTGTTAATTTAAAAAAATTATATTTAATATTATTTTAGATATCAAAGTAAAAAGGCGAAGAGATGCACAAAGGTGGGTTTTAGGATAGAAGCTTCTGGGATGACAGTTGTATTATGTGTTGATGCAAGAAAACGACAGTCCAGTTCTTCTAGATTTTGATCCTTCCCTTTTTCGCACATACCCCCGCTAAGGGACGGTGGTGGTTTGTCTGTCATTATCTTCATCAGACGGCCATTGTTTGTTTAGCATTTCTTCCTCTGCAACAAAAATTCCTCTTCCTTTCCGGCGAGCATTGAATTCCTTGTTTTTGAATTTTAATGATTTTCATGAATTCTAATCACCATCTACAATACTTCATAATTACTATAAAATATTTTAATAATATTTATCAGCTTATGTTTTTTTGTTACATTTTTATTACATTATTAAAAAAATCAACCCGATTACATCAATAAAGTTGACGAAAAATAAAATTTATAACAATGTAATAAAATAATTTGTTTACGTATTTTAAAAATCATATACGAGAAGTATGAAGCCTTACATCATCATTAACTAGTCTATTAAAAAACTTTAGGCATGCCTGATTTTTGTATAAAGAATTCTTTTAATTAGAAAAAGAAATTCAGGGGATCAATAAATTAATTTTTAATTTTTTAAAATATTGGTTTCAAATTAAAAAAAGAAACAAGCACTAAGAAATGAAGCACGTCCATGTTGCAAAAAGACATTCGCTGCCAGACTAAATTCCGCGCCTATAGAATAATCCTATACGTTTACAATCAATGCCAAAAAACCTTACACCAATACATACATACATACATACATACGTACTTGAGCCCTCTTACATCCTCCTTCAAAATACGTAATGTTTTGTATTGAACACTAAAAAGTTGTGGTTTTCAATAGTATTTATAAAGGTGATATTTCAATATGAGAGGATTTATAATTTTTTGTAATTCAAGTTTTTAACCCTTTTTAAGTTATAGGAAGTAAGACGTCTCATTTTTACTTAACATACTGTTTAAATAAATTTTAGTAATGTTTAGTTAATTAATATATGAGAATGACATTGATTGAATGTCAATGACACAATATGAAAATAACAATTTTTTTTTTTATATTTAAATGATTATATGTAATATTCGGGCCCAGAATTTAAACCAGAATTAATTTTAAAGTTTTTAAAAAATGTATTAAAATATAATTTTTAAATTTTTAAATTTTGTTTAATGTAAAATTAGAGAAAAAAATAGGTTGATGATGAAATTGAAAATAATTTTAAGAAAAAGTGGTAAAAATTTGGGTTCAAATTGTATTTTTTTAAAAAAAATCAGAAATTGATAGTGAAAATACAATTAAGAAAAATTGCACCACGTAAGACTGCTCAGTCAGCAGTCCAGACGAACCGAAGCACGACACGTGGCAAGGCACGCTGACTCGATGCCACGCGGGAGGCCACTCTGGCAATCCGTGTGCCCACGATCGGACGGCCTGGATGCATTCTCATGTGCGTAGACGGTTCGGATCCATTCCCTCCTCAGGTGCGATCGGACGATCACGATTAAATGCGATGAACGGTTCAGATTCGTTCTCTCTTTAAACGCGATCGTACGGTCGAGATCAAATCGCAATGAACAGTCTAGATTCATTTCTTCTTTAAACGCGATCAGACAGTCAAGACTTAAGGGAGACGTGGATAAATATCTCATTTCACACCGAATCCAAACCCTAGCCGCCAACCCCCTGCCGTAGAAGAAGCACCAATCGCCGAATAAGGGAGCCGCCTGCCGCCCACTGCCGCACCGGAGCCACCTCTGACCGCCAAAAAAGGTAAAAATTCTCTTATTCGCTCGGAATTTGATTTTGAACACCCCATGGCCAAATCAGAGCAAAAAGAATGGCGAATGAGCCGGAAACTGCAGAAAAAATTAAAAATCGCCTCCGATGAGCCCTTTCTCATTTTTCATTTTGTGTGATTTTTTCACCGTTGTGTTCACCGTTATGTTTTCTACAAGTTGACCGAAGAAAAATGTACAGCCGCGAAGGTGAGCCAGCGGAGTCACTGCACCGAAAAATTCTGCAGGGATGGGCATAAAAACAACCGAAACTGGCAAAAACTGGTCGAAACCAACCAGTTCGAGGCAAACTGCTGCTGTAAACGACGGTGCTATCGCCGTAGTCCGGTGGTGCCGTCGTCCCGAAATTTTAAAATTGATTGAAAAGGTTTTTAACTCCGATTTTAGATTTTTTATGGTATTTTTAGGTACGTAACGCGTGTTTTAATCTCCGCAGGAAAATTTAGGAAATCCGTGGATCGCCAGTAGGTGCAACTGAAAATTCGGTGTTTCAAACACCTATTCATGTAAGAATCCCTCACCTTGTTTTCTGTTATAGAATTAAAGTCTAATTATCAATAATACGGTATTTTGCATAATTTAGAAAGCTTTGAAAATTAATTATATATTACTAATGGAGTTAGAATCAGTTATTTATTATTGTTGTCATGTTTAAACGATTGTTTGATTTTACAGCTTTAAATGCATGATAATATACTGAAATTAGTAAAATGATTCAGTTGTATTTTCTTGATGCATATATTGTTTGTCTTGTATTGATTTACGGTTAAATTGTGAAACTAAAAGTTAAAGGTAAATAGAAAATTGATTGGTTAAGTGAATGAATGAATGAATGAAAACCTTACGGGATATCCTGGAAGATGGTGGATGGATCAGATATATAAAGAACTCTACCGTAAACATTGCCTCATACCGTATGGGGTATCGAAGATTGTTATTTTTGGCGCTCATACTGGATGAGGTATAGAGACGACCCGTTTCACCCTCATACTGGACATGGTATTTTTGACACTCATACGGGACGTGGTATGGGGACGGCCGGTTAGTTAACAAAGTTGAATGTTAGTTCACGCGTAGTGGTATATTCCTATGGACCCCCATGAATACCAGTAAACAAATAAAAATGGAAAGTTGTTATGCTTACTTACTTGAATATGAGATTATGATGTTGTTAAGCTATTGTCTCTATAGGTCGGTTTTGGAAATCTCGCAACAGTAAGTATGCAATAAATGGTTTTACTTATGATAAATGAATTTACTTAAATTAAGAGCTCAATTGGTTGTTTTTATAATTTTTACCAACCTTCATTTTTTGTATCAGTGAGTAGTGTGATATTCTTAATGGGGTAGTGTAGCTCATCCCTTTATTAACTATTTCAGATTAAGAGGACTAAGACCTAAATCCTGATCAACAAGAGAGTTGTGAATGATTCACCATCTGAACTCCTTCAAAAGCTAGTGAAGGTCGTTCTAAGATGCTCAGTTATTTACTTTTCGTTTATTTTTTTTTTATTTTCAATTGTTCTTTTAGAAGGGACATTCTCGTAACCTTATTGGGCATTCTAAATTATTATGTAAGGAGTGTAAACCCTAAACTTTATTGTTTCGATTCTGCATTCAATTCATGTCTTTATCTCCTTTTTAGTTCTGGGCCGTTACAGTTGATATCAGAGTCGCATTTCTTGAAATCATTCTTTACACAAAGACTTAAAAATACCAAATAGGAACTATCGTTCAACACTTCCTTATAAAAAATAAGTAGAAAGACACGAGGAGATGAGGTCCATTACTGAACATGACAACCCGAAATGGGTCGCTTCGATGCAACTCTACTCCTCTATCGTATCATTCGACACTGTCACAATATAATTCGGATCCCCCACCGTATCATCTAGCACCGTTATAGGGCCATCCGGTCCCTCTCCAGCAACATCTGGCCCCTTTTTCGCGGGACTCGGTTTCACCCATGATGGACTTGATAAAGATTGACACGGGGGACCCTGATGTATTTTCAAGAATGAACTGGTTAGCGATGTATCATGCCACCGTGGAATGTTTCTATGATAAAAATTGTATTTAAGCCTCCTAACAAAGAGTCATTTACAAGTTAATAAAAGTTTCGAATATTATTCTCCCTTAATAAATTCCTTAGTACATAGCGTTTTAACTCGATTGTTTTCTCTACAATATACAAACTTAAGAAAAAATTTATATTCAAGAGATCTCGATAGTCCAAGACTTTTCGAATGTGTTTCTTGATGAACCTCTCGGGCCACTAGTGGATAGAGAAGTTGAGTTCACCACAAACCTTCAGTCTGGTACGCAGCCTATCTCATTTTTTCCTTACCGAATGAGTCATGTAGAAATAGAAAAGTTGAGAAAATAGATCAAGAAATTGCAAGACAGTGGGTTCATCCGACACCGTGTTTCTCCTTGGCATGCTGGAGTCCCATTTGCAAGGAATGAGAAATAGGACGTTAAGGTTATGTATTGACTACAGGGGACTGAACATGGTCACAATCAAGAACAAGTACCCCTCCAGGATCGATGACCTTTTTGATCAATTGTAGGGTGCCCAGGTCTTCTCCAAAATAGATCTGCGTTTAGGTTACCATCAGGTAAAGATTAAGGTAGAATACATTCCCAAAACACATTTTGAACTAGGTACGAATACTATGAGTTCCTGGTCATGCCGTTTGAACTAACCAACGCACCAACCATCTTCATAGATTTGATGAACAGGATTTTCAGACAATTTTTATATCAGTTCCTCATTGTATTTATCGATGATATCTTATTCTTTTAAAAAAGAAGAGAGGAACACGCTCACCATCTGACTCAGGTTTTGCAGATTCTCAAAGAAAAGAAGTTGTATGCAAAGTTGAATAAGTGTGAGTTCTGTCTCGAGCATACTACATTCTTAGGGCATATCATATCAAGTGATGGAGTGTCAGTGAACCCCGAAAAAATTAAGGCAGTGCT